GTACCGTTGGAGGTCCCTGTATTTCTCCAGTCCACAGTGGAGATCTTTATCTGACGACTTCTGGAAGTGAACATGAAATACGGCTGTGTGTTTACACTACAGTGAGGCTGGTTCATCCAGGAGCTGCTGTGTCACATCAGTGTTGACAGATGGATGATAATTATTGTGTTCATACAGATAGATATAACTTTATTAATCCGGGAAATTGGGGAATTTGTTCGATAATTTGGCCCTCTGTATTATCAATAATCTAAAAAAAAAAAGAAAAAAAAAAGCCAAACATACGATAATTTCACCATCCCGTGAACGTGTGGTTGTAATCGGAGATTTTTTTTTTTTTGGGGAACCCTGAAGGCATCTGTTTCCATGTATCAAGTTTCCAGCCAATCATGCTTTTCTAAATGTGAGCTACGAGTGACGTTTATGTTTTGGCCTCAGAACTACGAGCATGATTGGCTGAATGGTCTGTGGTACCTGCCTCACGAGACGCTTTAGTCGGGACCAGACCGTAGTCGATCGACGAAAATTAAAAAAAAGAGGAAACTAAGGAAAAGAAAAAGGGAAGAGGAAAGAGAAGAATAACTCAGGGACAACGAGAGAACCTCGGGAAAGGTGAGAAGGAGGAAAGTCAAAAAAAAAAAAAAAAAAAGATGGCGGAGGAAGTAAAAGTAAGCAGCAAAATCTCCTAGAGACACACGGTACAGAAAAGAGTGACAGTTGGCCGGAGGGTCGAGGGCTGCTGTGGGCTCTGACAGCAACAAAAATATAATATAATAAAATAAAAACAACAACAAACAAACAAAAAAATAGAAAGAAGAAGAATCAAGTTAATAACACAATGTCTACAGAGAACATAAGGGCGGGAAAGGCACACGTCTGTTTCACACACACACACACACGGTGCTAACTGGACACTGACAACCGTCGGCAACTATTTTCCAACTTTCTAACGTTTTTGTCCGACTTTCAAACGGGAACGCTGATAACTTGGCTGTGACGTCATTTCCAGCTCCGACCTCCGAGGTTGAATGAAACTCAGTTCACTGTGTTCCTACTGTCAAAG